CCCCAAAACCCCAAAACCCCAAAACCCCAAATTCAGCCACTGGCCTAGAAATAATAAACTTAAAAAGAAATGGAAAGTTTAGTAGAACAGATAGAGGCCAACATGGCGCAAGTCAAAGAGTAAGAGGGGTAGGACTTGAGTGGGGCCTGGAGGGTACTCCTCAAAACCCAGTTTTAACACCTATACACCATTTATATCACAAACCTCTACTACATCTCCATATTTTTGCACTAAAGAGGCCTGAGAGGCAAACCAGGAGACCTCATGAGGAGCCTGGGTTTATTAAGGCCGGCTCAGTGCTGAGCGAGATCACAGGATTTATTAATAGCTTATTCTTATAGATCAGAAAAGTGGGCAATGGAAGAAAGCGAAGAAATTGATAAAAATATTTTAAAGAATATCTTCTTGAAAATTTGGCGTGATATGGCTTTTTCAGGATTGTTTGATTCTCGAGCGTATAATAAGAACGTAGCTTATGGAAAAATTCTTGAATTAAATTGAAGGTTCAGGAGAGAATCGAATCTTTGTAATGGTTTGAAACCTTTTGTGATGTTCAATCTGAACAAAGTGTCTTTGAATGGTTTAACAAAAAGAAGAAGCTATGTTAAAGATTTTCTCACCAAATCATTTCCTAAGAAGATTGTGAAACTATATATCTCCTTCAATAAACCTTTAAAGCTAAACTCAGCATATTACATGAATAGCATGATTAAGATTGGTCCGAATGTTCAGAAGATAGCACGTTTTAAATGCCTTTGGCTGAATTCTAAGCAACTCAAAAGACTATTGAGTGCATACAAGCATGTGACTCAATTGACTCTCTCATACTGCTTATTTTGTCTACCTGCGCATGTAGATTTGACAATGGCTCTGAAGGACACACAGATAACTCACCTCAGTTTTTCATATTCTTCTTCTGCTGATCCAAGTGATTGGAAGGATAAGCCAACAGGCTTGCTGAACTTATTGAAGAGTTTAGGAACTTCGCTAGATTTAATCCTCATACTGCAAGCACTGTGCCTGACCGGCTGGGTCACCAAGAAATCTCTGCTAAGAAAGACACTGAGTGACAATAGTCTTGGAAGAGTTAAGCTAGAGAGGTCAATTAGTGATTAAAATTTCAAGTATTGGGGTAATTTTGGGGTTTTGGGGTTTTGGGGTTTTGGGG